CCTCTGTTTACCCCATCGTCTGAGCAAGCAGAACAAAATTTGAAAGTGAAATCAAACAATGCGAAAATAACTTGAAAACAATGTCAAGTATTTCTCGACTTCTTTTCGTTATCTTTATCTTTGTGTTTTTGATTGCTACAGATCTGTGTATATGCAGGTATATATATATATGTATAGCAAAAGTTGAACACAAATCAAAGAAAAGATTGGGACTTCGATATGCTCAGCTCAGACAAAAGTGTAAAATCTTACTTGACGTAAGTCTCAGATTGTAAGGTTATGAGGTGCAAAGACATCGATAGTGATGGTAATTAGTTGATTAATATTAATAGTGAAGTAAGTAGTATAGTAGAATATAGTAGTATAGTGTGATGATAAACACTCGATAGTCTCAAGAACAAAAGCGAGGAGAGAAATAAAAGAAATATGAGTAAAATCTTTTAATGTGTTTCATTTTATACATCTATAGATACGTCTATAGATACATTTATCGATATGTGTATATATATGTATATGTATATGATATATGTATACGTATATACTATCCAATCTAAAGCATATAGTTCCTTTCTTTATATCCTAAACTAGTCATGGGATCACAGAGCAAAAGCTGAATTCCTTGGGACTTTTGGTGCTTTTGAGGCTGTCTAAGGAATTAGACATAGAGCCATTTGCAGATACATACATACATACAGTAAAATCCAGTTATGGCGACTTCACTTATAGCATCTGCATCGTTATTGAATTATTAAAATTCTGGTCCTCAGACAAACTTATAGCGTCTTCCGGCTATAACGACGGTCCCTTGAGATTCGTTATAACCGGACTCTACTATACATACACTACTATACCTATATATATATATATATATATAGACAAAAACAAGTTTTATAGCTCAATTCGAGTCAAGTCTCTTAAAGCTCAGCTCGAGCAAACAATTGATGGAATTAGTATTACATAAATTATTATTATAGAATCTAATTTACCATTCAATAATTTATATGGGAAATTCCTATATAGTCTATCCATATAGCGTGCCTAGCATCGACTCCCATTTTCATACACTTTCTTTCGCTGCGTGTAAACGCATTTTGATTTTTGTTTTGACAGCGCTCAAAGACGCGCGTCTTTTTATTGGCTCGAGCTTGGCTTGTTGCAGCTGTCGTTGCCCTCATTGTTGTTGTTGTTGTTGTTGTTGTTGTTGTAACCGCAACAGTTGCGGCGACACTTTTGTCGCTTTGTAGCGGCAAAGGACACTCAAGTCAAGTGCAACCGAGAAGCAACTGTCGAGACGGTTGAGGCAGCATGCCAGCTGTGAGCTGGGAAACGTAAACGTTGATTCCATTCAGCGTTTCAGCGTGCTGTCAACACGCAGGTAAGTTGTGGATGTGGCATAGCAGATGATATACCTTAGTTGGCCCCAGCCGTGGCCCTGCTCTCGGTCCTGGCCGGAACGGAAAGTTAGCTCAAGCAGCTGCCAAGTGACTTGAAAGTACTTGAGCGCATCCTTAAGCAGGATATCAACTGGCAAAAGCGCTGCGAGCATCGCATCAGTTCCAGTTGTAGTTGTAGTTGTTGTCGTTGTGGCTGTAACAACAACAAACACTCACAGCAGGAGCTAGAGGCGATGGTAGAAGCAGAGGCGGCAGCAAAGCCGAAGACGTTAGCTGACGCAGGGGCTGGGCAAAAGGCGCAAATCTCAGTGACATTGTCAAAGAGCCAAGCACAAAACACATACACAGGAAGAGAGAGAGAGAGACATAGAGAATAGGTTCGCATTCTGGACGCACCCGCTAGCCGCTGTTAGGCCCCCCTACTCCCTCATTTGGCACGCCGCCCCTGCGCCCGGCTCGCGACCGCGTTGGCAGCACGTTGTGGCCTTTTATTAGATACGTGCTGTATCTCTGTTTACCAAGTTTGATGGTGTTAATGCCTTTTGTTCTTGTTGCTCCGATATACATCTATGTCAACCAGACACACTGCCACATGCCACATGCCGCATGCCGCATGCCACTTGCCTTGCGGCCAAGCGAGAGAGCTCTGCTAGCATCGTTCCAACTCGAATACATTGAGCGAGGGGATAGTGGGCTAGACAGGGGAGTGGGGAGGTCGACGGCATCAAAAGTGCAGCGTATGTGCTTTTGACAGGGGCGTGGGTGGATTGCCTGTTGCCGGGAGCGGGGGCGTGGCAACCTTGGCTAGCCCAGAGCCCAAAAGGACTTTAGCGTTCGGCTTTAAGGTGAAGGAACGAAATGTGTATAAAAATGTAATTAAAATCTAACAAATAATCGACTATTTTCTAAATACCAACAACAACAACAGCAGATAAGCCTGTAGAACTATGGCAACAAATCGTACAACAACAACAACAACAACTGTCGCAACGCATTAAAAATGCAACGAGAATTGTGTTTGGGTTCCAATTGGAGGTCACGAGAGCCACATAATTTGACCGAAAACAGAGGCGTATAGCTGCTAGAAGAGGGATCGGGGGAACTGAAGATTGAAATAAGGAATATTAGTTACATCTGCAAATTTATATCTATATACATATAGTATTCCGGTGCGATTATCAAAGAGATCTGACGAGGCAGCGAAAGCCCCTCAGCATATGCAGCTGTCCATGAACAATCGCCCCACGGACAGCGGAGGACAGTGCAGTCCTCGTATCAATTCAACTTAACACGAACCAACCTGGTGCTAGTAGCTGTAATACCCTGTAGATACTAAGGGTTTTGCGAGATATAGATAGATATAAATATAGATATAGATATAGATATAGATATAGATATAGATATAGATATAGATATAGATATAGATATAGATATAGATATAGATATAGATATAGATATAGATATAGATATAGATATAGATATAGATATAGATATAGATATAGATATAGATATAGATATAGATATAGATATAGATATAGATATAGATATAGATATAGATATAGATATAGATATAGATATAGATATAGATATAGATATAGATATAGATATAGATATAGATATAGATATAGATATAGATATAGATATAGATATAGATATAGATATAGATATAGATATAGATATAGATATAGATATAGATATAGATATAGATCCAGATAACATGGTAGGGGATCTGCTAGTCGAGCATGCTCGCCTTCAGCATTCGTTGCAGTCTTTGCAGTCTTTGCTGCTGCTGGCTCATCCGCAACTGCAGCGGCAATCGCCCGAGCCGGAAATGCGCAAAACTAACGGATAATGGCAAATGGCGGCTGCAGCAGAGGCGTAGCTGAAGGGGTAGCAAAGGTGGGGCCAGCATCCGAAGGGGGGCGCAGGCAAGCAGCGCTTCAAATGGGGCGACACATTGAGAAAGTTAAAAGCCAAAATGAATAAGGGTACAGAGCAGGCAACGATAGAGAGAGAGAGAGAGAGAGAGAGAGAGAGAGAGAGAGAGCGGGAAAGAGAGAGAACGGGGCAAAGGCAACTTTGGCTGTTGCCACATAAACTGCGAATAAGGCTAAATGTCATGGTTATGTTTACATGCGGTGCAAATGCAACGGAAATGGCAGTTAAAACTTTTTGCGGACGCGCAATTAAAGCAAATTAATGCAAAATGCATGCAGTGGGGCAGTCGACGGTGGCTGATTTAGGGGCGTGGCAGCCTTGAGCTGATGCTGATTTGGATGGACGAAATGCGCGGACAGCAGCGACCGCAGTCGCGTTGCATGTGGCAGCAATCAGCAGAGCTGTAAATTATCAAACACGAAACGAATCATGCGGAATGCGGCAAGTGGCAAGCGGCATGTGACGACATTTTTACGGGGCGGTCTGTGGCAAGGGGCGTGGGGCGTGGGGCGTGGCACCTGACAAGCCAACAAGCAAGACATATGCAGAAATATGCAATGGACATGTGAGACGAGGCGAGTCAGCTGGGCAACAAATGTCTAAGCAGCTCAGGTGCCGCATGCCACAAACAGTTGCAGCTGCAATCGAAATGGGAAGCACGTCAATAAGCCAGGACACAATGTCAACCAGGTGAGCACAGGGAGACACATAGAAAGAGATAGAGCGTGGGAGAGGGTGAAATGGGGGCGGGGGTGGTCATTCGCACATGCAACATGCTGTGGCCGTGGCATGTGGCACGTGGCACGCACAGTGTACGTATTAAACGTTTCGGTGAGGACTCGACACGACTTGTCTTGACAGCAAACAAAAGCGAGAACGGGAGCGAGTGAGAGAGGGAGCGGGCGAGAGAGAGTGAGGTTGAGAGAGTCTTGAACAGGGCTTTAGCATTGGCTTTGTCTGCGGCTCTATTGACTTAATTGCTATTCTAAACATGTTGCACTTCATTGTTGCCACACGATGATGCCAGCGCCTGGCCAACAGTCAGCCATTTAAGGGCCACGCCTACACACACAGAGAGAGAGAGAGAGGAGAGAGAGTGAGAGGTGAGTGGGCAGAGAAATCTAGTCGAACGCCTTGTCACGTTGTGGTAATTAAATTATGTGCAGCTGCGGGAGGTCGCTGGAATGCTACACAGAAGGAAGCTGGGCAAAGCGACAGCTGGGTGGCAAGGAGGTGGCAGGAGGGCGGGTATATGGGTTTACCATTGGAGACATTGTGGCAAATTAAGTTTGTCTCTGGTGTGCAACATTGAAAGACCAAATACGCACTCAATTCAGGGACTGACAAATTCTGGAAACAGATGAAAACTAAAGCTGAGGATATTATCAAATAGAGTTGACAAAGGAATAGTTATATGAAATAGATATGCATACATAAATTATATGATTTATATTATCTATAATGAAACATAGTTTTCTGTTGAGTATGGGAGTATGACAGTGGGAGCTTGAGTTCGACTGAAAGCATCTACATTAGAGAGGTTCTTCTAAAGACGATCATATCATTACCAGAATACTAATAAATCTATTTGTATAAAACCTATATAAACCACCGATCTGCTCTATTTTCACATAGAAAATGGCTGTCTATATATGAGAATTTCCAAAATATAATGAAATCATTCCTTAGCTCATATGGAACTACTAATTATTCTGCTCTATATAAACTATATATATGATTTACATTATATAGAAAACATTCTATTTTGCGTTTTCAGCAGAATGTTTACATGTTTTTGCATTCACAGATATCTTTCATCTTACATTTTTCCAGATCGAAGCTCCATATCATAAGACTTTGATTGATAAGATTTTGATGTCGGTTATGTTGATCTCTTCTTACAAGGCTTTTCCTAAGCTGATTTGAAAATCATTATCCCTAATGAGTCTGAGGACAGGAAAATAACGTTAAAATTAGAGCTAACTAAAAATGATATGGATAGTGTATGAACTCCTACATTTGTAGACATACCCAACCAAGCGAATCGATCTGTCCATCCATTTGCTATTGCTCCACATCTGCTCGAGTTCTCCTTTGACTTCACATAGATTTCATCCGATTCGAAAGTTATTTTTTGCGTCCCTGGTTGGACAGTTGGAGATGCTGCTGCTGCTGCTGCCTGCACAACAATTAGAATGGTAAACTTTTATGGGCGAGCGTCCAGTGTTTTGCTTTATTATCTTGAATCATTGTTTTGGTCTTTACCTTTGCCTCTACCGTTGCCTCTACCTTTGGCTTTGCCTTGGCTGTTGCTATTTGAGTTCAGCAAATTCAACAAAGATTGCAAATACGAGCAGTTAATATTTATTTATTTGCCATTTCTGCTGCACTTGCCACATGCCACATGCCTGCCGGTTGCTGCTGCTGCAACAGTTTGTTTGGATTTCAAACTCAGGCGTTTGCTGCGTTTTTCTTGCAAGTGCTCCCAGGTCTCGATACGCCTGGCCAATTTGCAGAGACCCTTTTAATCAGTTGGTGTGCCAAGGCCACAGAGCAGTCGACTGCATAAACAAATAAATTAATAAATAAGTATATATGGATATACATATATATGTAGGTACGAATTGTTAAACAAATACGCATATCAACAATTGTATTCAATTATGCATAACTAATTGCTTTTGCGGCGACTCCGACTCCAACTCTCATCAACAACTTCAGGGAAATTGGATTACGCCAACTTTTCCATTGTTTTCCTTTTGGGCTAATCCAATTGGGCAAAGTTAAAGCCGGAATGAAGAGGCCATTTGCTGAAATATAATGATATAATCGATTGAGGGTTTGTAAGAGATATAATAAAGACTTCATTTAATGAGAATTTAATAATTTTTCCTAAATCTGAAACCAATATTTCACTTATAATACTCAAATTTCCATAAACTAGGTTTGCAATAGCACAGTTCTATAATATTTGATGGGGATTACTTGCAGGGGGGTAAATATGTTTGATCGAACCACCTGAAGACTTTGAGAGTAGAATAGTCAACGCATTGCTATGAAATGGATCTTGTTTACTCTTTATGGAGATCTCTTGTTTCTTTCAACTATAAGAGCTCTGAAATATTCTTCTCCTTTGTGGTCGATCTCTTCGATCCAGCTATTGAACGTTACTCTCAGAACTTACGCGTATTCATCCACATTGTGAATGACTCCATTTTCATTGTTTTAATAAAAGCACACACAAAATTCGTTTAGCATCTATTTTATTCACTTTCTGTATAAATTTTGTCATGAAGTTGCCAGATTGCAGATCTCTCCCCTTGATATCGTTTGTTAGAGAGAGACAACTACATATCGTAACTTTCTGTTAAAGCTAGGTATGAGACTGTTAATAATATAGCGATGGCAATGTTAGCAAAATGTTAGAGGTATTCCCATTGGCCTGCTGCAATTTATCTGCACATGAACTTAACTTTTTTCCTTAGTTGAATAAGTATTGTAAACATATGATCTATCCTTAACCTAGATTCAATTTGATATACTAGTTAATACATATATACATCTATGTATGTAGACTGGAAACGAAACTAAATTTCGGCGATTTTTTATTTCCCCTTTTGTCCATTGAATGCGGCATTTGTTATGGGTTCTTCATGGCGCTCGCGGCACTTTCTCATAATGTGTCCAGTTTTATTACATATTGAGAGCTTATTGTCAGGACCCACACGCACACGAACGCAAGAGCAATTTTTGTTAAAAATATATAATATATATAAATGGGAAAACTATTTGTGAAGCGAAGAAGCTCAGGAAATGCGAAGTCTGTATACACTTTTGCTATTTCTAACTCTAAGCACAATTTATTCAAATCTTAACTCGACTCTAAACTTACTTGAATCTCTTCAATGAATTCTACTTCTAGTTTCTTCCTGCTTTGCTTCTATTTCTTCTTCTTCTTCTTCTACAAATTGAAGTTACTTCCTAGAAATACCAATATTGAAAACTTCTTCAAGTTTTTTCCTTTTCAATGAATATCAGCTAAAAGTGCATGGACTCCCCCATTCAGGGTATATGAAGATAGTGAGAAAAGGCAACAGCAAAATACCCCAGAGCCCAATAAGGGATGATGGGAATTTTGCTAAGAATTTTTCATTTCCTTTTACGCTGCGTGTGTGTCAAGTGGGATTGGTTTTGGGAGGGGCCATAGATATTATTGCTGCGACCCAGCATCCCTACCTCTTGCCACTACGCAATCTCAATGCTGATGCTGTCCCATTCAGACGATTCAATATACATACATATATACATATATATATTTGAGTGTATATATCTTTAGCTGAGAAACGTTCGTACATCATTTATGTATTCGGTTTATTGTCATATGTGTGACAGCCAATGAAGTGTCCCACCAATGGACTGAGTTTCTGGCCACTTCAACTACAAATACTTCGAATGGGGGCGGATATTGCCAGCCACTTTAAGTTACACAGCATCGAATGGAAATCTTATGGGCCAGAGCTAATATGCAACGCATGGAGATATGCCACAGGCATCTTAAAAACAATATTTAATATAAATAGTGGAGTCCAAGCTGAGTTATATCCTTTGTTTAGGCACAAGTGCCATAAGGATTTGTATGGGAGAATAAATGCCGAATTTGAACAGTAAACAAAATTTTGACCAAGTTTGGCTTGAAGCAAACTTTTAAATAATACTAATATTTTTTTAAACTTAAATAAATAGAATAAAAAAGATTTGAAATCCCTCAAGATTTTTTTTGGAGATAAATTGAAAACATATACATTTTTCAAAAATGGTTTGAATATTAATTATTTTATTAACTTTAAAATTATTTTGGAAAATAAAAATTTGTCACATTTAAATATGGAACCAATACGAAAAAAACCTGAAATGAAAAATCAAACTTGAATCTTATATACTAAATTTATTCATTTATTATGTTCTGTATGTATTTTATATAATTTTAATGAATTGTTATCAGTTTTTTAAATATTTTTTTTCAAAATACATTGTATATATAAATATTTCGTTTTAATAAAAAAAAATATTTTGTAAGTATTTTTAATTATATAAATTTTGTATTTATCAATTTTATATATTTTTAAAAATTATAAATATTAAAATTTTTTTTATTTAATTTTTATGCGTTTTGTAATATATTGCTTAATAAAAATATTTTTTAAGATATTGGTTAATTGAAATGCTTATTCTGAAGGATATTTCTGAGCCGACCTATGCCAACTGAATAAGTCCTTCATTTTCGTATGATTATTGTTTAAGTATTATAAACTTAATTTGGTTACGTTTTTGGCCACAAACTTTGATTATCAAATCAAATCTGAACTTTAAAATGGTTTTTCGCACTTCGTGCCTCTGCCCGCCCACCCTGCTACCCTCCCTCGACTGGCTCACTGGCTGGCTGCTCATTCCCGTCCCTTGGCTCGGCTGGCAGCGTTTCCACTTTGGCTGTCATGTACAATAAATGAAATCAAAAAGGCAAAACCGATTACAAAACTTGTCAAAGTTGTTTGCCTGGCCGACAATCTACTGATAATTACTATCTGGGGAGCACTAACTTATAGCTGAAAGTCTTTGCCCGCACCACTGACCTGGCTGTCTGCATCGGCTCGGCGCTCCGCTGTCCCCTGTCCCCTGTCCCAGCCTTTGCATCCCTCTTGGCATTCAACTTGTGGATACTTTCTTGCGGCGTCTTGAACTTTGCTCAAATTCCCAAATACCCTAGCCAAAGAATACTCTGCCTAGCCTATGAATTGTGTAAGCCTAGCCGAACTGAGCTCACAGTGACGCTCTGTTGCTGTAATTTGGTAAATATACTTCTTTAAGCAGCAGCTGATGCATATTCCTAAAACAATTGAATTGCATCTTCATGACATGGAGATATTTTATGATATATCCATTCGAACTGCGCTTGAAATGAAGATCTTAAGCTGAAACTTGGCTTAGCCATCGTATGACATCTAGATATATACATACATATATGTACCTTCTAGCTGAAGTATTTGAGATCCTTTTCATCTATCTATTCATGAGCTAATTACGTTTTTGAATCCGATCCGCTAATCCAGATCTAATCGAAAAGAATTTCGAGCACAGATTTCTCCGTATTTTCGCTGCTCTGACTAGAGTATCTACTGTTCACATTCCGTCGTTAACTATTTAACTTTTATTTATTGTATTTTTCATCTGAAGTATAGAGGCATAGAGGCAAAGAAGAGCAGGTCTCTGGCAATCAGCGAATCGAAATCGAAAAGGCAAAACGTGTGTCAGCAGAAAACGGCGAAGCTGAGCTCAAGACGCGCGCAACACGATGCCTGTCAGAGCGCAAGAAAAAAAAAAGTGAAATGAGTAGAACCTAGCTGAGTGGGTAGACAAGTGCGAATGCTCTAATGAGCTATGCACGACGCGAGTATACCACGTTTTTCTAGCTGGACTAGACTTTTGTAACGAGCTATGCCCGACTATGCTCTGTTCTGCTCTGCTTTCCATGGCTCTTTCTCCTTAATATCTATCTATATCATGAGTTCTGCCTGATCATGAAATACTCCTTAATGTTCCCATGGTCTTTTATAATGAACTATGCTCGACTGTTATATACCCTGCTTTGTATTGCTTTCCTCGATAGTATTCGGTAGATATTTCAATTGAACTATGCATATCTATATATAAGTACATATATATTTATAAGTAGAGACTTACCAAAATGTATTGTCTCTGGACTGGACTGGATGTGAAGTACTCATTGGACGACAATAGTATTGATATATATATCATATATGATATATGTATCTTATATCATATATCCATATTTTATAGAGCATATATCATCTACATGCTATATAGATTTTAAAGAGTCTAAGAACAAAACCCATATACCCCTTTTGCCCAATGACTGCAGGGTATTCGAAATAGCAAATGAAACAGCAAAGTTGCTAACAGCAGGGCAAAGCTGCCACGCCCACTTCTATTTCTAAGGAAGCGTATACAGCTAAAGCTATATAAAGATATTTCTAAAGTAGATCTATATACACATGGAATGTAATCTAAAAATAAAAAGATTTTTGTTGTTGTGTATTTTGTTGCACTTATTTAACTTTTCATAACTCATCCAACTAATATTGCAATCTACGCGCCAA